CTCTCTCTCTCTCTCTCTCTCTCCCTCTCTCATGATTATCTAGAGGACATGGGGAGCCATATACTAGGTATATCTGTAAGACATTGACAAGAGCCATCTGCGGGGTATGTATAGTATAGAGGACATGGAGGGCCAGCTGCCGTTTATATATATATATCCAGAAGACGAAGAGAGCCATTTGCCGAACATATTATCTGGGCAACATATAGTCCACAGACTAGGAAGGATCTCTCTCTCTCTCTCTCTCTCTCTCTCTCTCTCTCTCTCTCTCTCTCTCTCAGGCTTTGCATAAAACTGTACATGTACTTGGTTTAACTCCCCATGCTGTGCGTGACCGTAATATTATTTAGGAGGTGGGACCTCCGAATTTAGGACCCATCTCAGACAGCGCCGAGCCAAATGAGAACATCCGGGCAAAGTGCCTTTTTCAAGAACACAGCGTGTGAGCGGGGCCTTGGACTTCTCAACCTCCACCAATCGGTTTGAAACGAGAGAAGGGGTCCCGGCCTAGCTCAAACTCCATACAAAAATAGATAGATATATTATATATGTGAGGCAGCGTGGTGGAATCAGGCTCTCGTCAAAATAATCAAGTGAAGAAACTTCCATTTTTCCGCAGTTTTATTAATTTTTATCAAATTTTTGTTTTTTGGTTCATCACCTTTCATGCCCATTAAAGAACTCATTTCTGTGTATATTTTTCGAAAAAACGTTGATGAAAGGCACAAAAAAATGTAAATTTTCAGTTACCATGGACTCTTACTCTTAAGCTAAGGAAATAACAAATCTTTAGCGACCATTTTCTCACTACTTTTACCTATGAAAACAGGTGACCCTCACCTCCTTCTTTCGCAAATATCTCGACATGTATTCAAGATAAATGGATATTTTTTCCATCCAAATAAAGACAATTTGAACAAGCTTTAAGATGATACCACTAACTCTACATGCCCGCCCAAAAATTGACGAGAGGCTGATTCCACCACGCTGCCTCACATATTATTATGTATACTTATTACTATCGGAAATGAAAACGGGAGTCGCGTTGGGTTGTTAAATTAACAAAAATAATGGTTTGAACAGCTTTTAGTACCAAAAATATTCTCAGCAAAAATAGGTTTGTACATCTTCTATAAATTTACCTGCTTTTTACTCGACTTCCTTTTTTGTTTCCGATTTTGTGTATACATTTCTATGGACCTAGGCCGGGATCACTTCTCTCGAAGAGTTCCCATACACTGACCCACCACCATATCACA